CCCCCCCGAGAAGACAGATGTGGAATAACTGACTGCAGGGTGACTGTGGGCCTCTGTCTCCCAGCGTGCAGGCCGTTCGTGTACTGTGCCCGTGAACAGAGGTGGCTTTCTTGAAGCCGGACAAGACCTCCATTCACCTTAACGTCTAACGGATCAGACACGCAAAGGCCTCCACTTGAGGCTGCATACGTTGGCGTGTGCAGAGCTATATGGATTTTTGAAATAGTTCCTTGGAAGTTCAGCAGCAGCGAAAAGTCAGTTCTTGACTTGGGAACTGAAAGACTGGGAAGGAGCCGGGGACCGCACTTGGCTCCCTTTTGTGTGCTCGTGGGTGAGGGATTGTAGGTAGCGGGGCTCCCACTTCCGGAGCAGGATTCTATGCGAGTGACTAGTTAGCCCCGAGCCTAAACCTGCAGCATTGTGGAGACGAGAGGGAGAGAGACATGGAGAGGGAGATGGAGGAGCGCAGGGCTAACCCCGGGGCATGTCCCGCCGGCCCCTTGCTAAGGCTTGGCTGCAGGGACCCAGAATGCATTGCGAGGGGCCTTGGGGTGGGATTTTCATGCAGAGTTTTCAATATGTTGTACTTACCTGATCTTTCATGAGGCCAAAGGAAAGTAATTATTTTCTCTCAATGTGTATTATCTCAGGGTCATATATTACATCAAAAACCTTTAGCTCTAAAAATTTAGGGGTATAAGAGCAGCCGGGAAAGAAAATAAGGGATACATGGAAGAGTAAGTGGTTTTCAATAGGTTTTTTTGTCTTTATTTAACATTCTTCTAGAAAAGTTAGGGGTGTAAGTAAGTGTTTAAGTTCAATTTGTGCTCACAAGTCAGGTTTATATAAATTGGTCTCTACGGGTTGTTTTTTTTTTCTTCTGTTCTATCTTAGACTCAACTCATGCCAAACCTGGAGGTCAAGCTCATTCGTCACTTAGGTGGATGACACCATATCATTTATTCCACGTGCGTGTCCCTCTTGATGGCGTTTAGGTAGCTTTACAGCGTTCTCGCCTGTGAAGTATGCTGCCAAGAACATGCTTTTCATTGCATGTTACATATTTTTGCCAGTACAGCCATAGAGTAAATTCTCAAGGTGGCATATGTGGGTCCAAGGAGGTATGTGTAGTTCATGTTTTTATCTATTTCCAAGTAATTTTCCAAATGGCTTCCATTAGTATGCTCCTAAAAAAATAAACAGAAGTTTCTCTTCTACCCCAGTCAACAATATTGAATTTTTATTCAGCAATATTGACGTTTTAATCATTGCCAATCTGATAGGTGAAATATGGCATCTTTTTACTTCATTTCTTTCATTGCAAGGGAGGCCCAGCATTTTTTCAAGTGTCTATGGGTTGACATACATACACTTGGTGACAGAGATAAAATAACTTCTTTCGTGCATGTTTCGCACCAGGCTGGCTTTGTCAGGTTATTTCAGACAGCCGAGGTTCTTTCTGTTCATATGTTGATGTAGCTTCTCTGCTCACATCAAGGAGTGAGTTCATCAAGTTGTACTCGCAGGAGTGTGAAATCATGAGAGGCTCGCACTCCTACGAAACGAGAAACCTTGTCTGGGACCTGGGTTTCAGTTGACAAACAGCAGTGCTTTGATTTTTGAGTGGCTCGGTGGATAAGGGTGGGCCCGTAGAGATTGCTGCTCCGTCTGAACTCCTCGGGGGCAGGACCAGGTCTCATCGCCTCTGTGTCCTTCCCTGGCAGCATCTCAGCAGGTGGTCGGCGTGCAAGAGGAGGCCGGTAAACGGATGGATCGTTCCTGCAGGTGTTTCCTCTGACACCCACTCGGCGCATCCGTGGTGCTCTGCAGGGCCAGGCACTGCACACAGCAGGGCTCCCGGGGAGGGGGCAGGGCCAGGACCCAGCGCTCACAGCCTGGGCAGCCTTGTAAGCAGAGCACGCCAAGGGCGTTGAACCGGGGCAGCCACACCTCGCATTCAGCGCATTGGACCTATGCGTCCTCCCCCTGCAGTCCGCTGTCTGAGCCCCTGCGCCCCTCTCCTGTTTTCCAGGTGCCCAGTCCCCACTGACCGTGACCCGCTCTGTCCCCCGGAGAGGAGACCTCGTCCCACTTCTCAGCACCGGCAGGCGGGCATGAGGGGAGGAGCCAGCTGAGGTGGGCAGCGCACCTGGGCAGCAAACCCAGACACCGGGACCCGGCCGGAAGACGGTCCCTCGCCTCCTCTCCGGGCTTCTCAGAGGTAACTTTGAATTTGGAAAAGGAAAACTTGGAAACCTTCATTGCCGTCGTCTCGGTGGAGTCGCAGGCTGTTGGGGGGACCACAGAGGCCTGCTGGCTGGGTCTCTGCACCACCTAAGCCGCACCCTGTGAGCAGCCGCCTGGTGCAGGTCCCGGGAGGGATGCGAAGGCGGCCCTCGGCGTGTTCCCTTAGCTGTTAGGGCAATTATAGCCATCAACACCTTGTGAAGGTTTCCGCAGGGGCCTCCTCCACCGCTCGCCACAGCCTTCTGAGGTCTGTGTGGTCTCGCTCTGTAGACCAGGAAACAGGTTCAGCAGATCAAAGGCCTCACGGTTTCATTCATTCACCGGAACGTGTGCACTGAGCTCCTGGCTCGCCCGGCGCTCTCCTGACTCAGAGCACAGCAAGCGCACAGCCCGGCCGTCAGGAGATTCTAGGTCAGTGGGTGAGAGTGGAGGTGGGGAGGGGACAGGCACCGAGGGACCGGCTGTGTCCAGTCGGCAGCGTGGAGAAGCAGGTTACACCTTGTGCTAGGAGGCGTACACGGTGGACTGTGCAGGGCCGGGGCAGGTCATAGTTTTAAATGGAACGGTCAGCGAGGTCTCATTGAAAAGGTGATTTCATGGATTTACGGAGTTGTGGGGAGTCATTATTTCATGTTGGGAGCAAGAGTATTGTAGTGAGAAAGCAGGGGGTTGCAGCAGCCTCGAGTCCAGTCCCTGCACCCCAGGGTGCAGGAGGAGCCCCAGGAGGCAGTGGGGCTGGACAGGGTCAGCAGGGAACAGGGGGTTGGGAGAGAGGCCCTCAGGGCCCTCAGGAGGCTGACCTTACCTGGCATCGCAGACTGTTGGGGGAATTCTAGGTTTTATGATGGGAAATCAGCCGAGGAGGAGGGACAGGATTTGCATTCCATTTTTTTAAATTTAAAATATGTCTATTGATTTCAGAGTGAGGAAGGGAGAGGGAGGGAGAGAGAGAAACATCAATGATGAGAGTCATTGATTGGCCGCCTCCTGCAGGCCCCCTGCTGGGGATCGAGCCCGCAACCCGGGCATGTGCCCTGACCGGGAATCGAACCCTGATCGCCTGGATCCTAGGT